GCAGATTTTAACTCAAATAAACAAGAGGCTTTTTATTAAACGAGCATTAGTTTGAGTGTGTGTTTGTGTCCTGAAATCATTTATTGTAAACACACACTCACCGGCCACTTTATTAGGTACACCTGTCTAACTGCTCACTAACGCACATGTTTAATCAGCCAATCACAGGGCAGCAGCTCACTGCATTTAGGCATGTAGACATGATCAAGAGGATCTGCTGCAGGTCAGAGCGAGCATCAGAATGGGGAAGAAAGGGGATTTAAGAGACTCTGAACGTGGCATGGTTGTTATTTCAGAAACTGCTGATCTACTGGGATTTTCACGCACAACCATCTCTAGAGTTTACAGAGAATGCTCCGACAAACAGGAAATATGTGGTGGAACAGGAGATTGGCATCATGGATGTGCAGCCGACAAATCTGCAGCAACTGTGTGATGCTATCATGACAATATGGAGCAAAATCTCTGAGGAATATCTCCAGCAGCTTGTTGAATCTACAACACCGAGGATTAAGGCAGTTCTGAAGGAAAAAGAGGGTCCAACCCGGTGCTAGTGAAGTGTACCTAATAAAGTGGCCGGTGTGTGTGTGTGTGTGATGAACTCCCACTGCTGAGACGCAGCATCTGTCTGAGCTCTGCTGCCGTGTGTGTTTGAACTCAAAGGTCTTTCAGAAGCTCCTCATTAAAGCCGCTCATATCATCATCATCATCATCATCAGCAGCAGCAGCAGCAGAGGATCCACCATGATCAGTCCAGTGTTCTTACAATATTGATCATCTCCAATAATGCAGCAGACACGAGATGTAGCCTGACCCTGTGAGCATGTGTGAATCATCAACAGACACAGGTTAGTTTAGCCTCTGTATTTACAGTCATGCATCATTCATACATCAGCTTACACATGTGGACTGATGTACACGGCAGAAATGCTGCGTTTGGGTCTTGTTTCTAGGCTAAATGTCCACAAACTCTGAAATCAGTCAGCATTTTCTGGACAAGCAACAATATGGTCTTGTTTTCAGAAATAAATGAAGAGTTTTACCTTAAAACAAGCAAAATAATCTGACAATGGGGGAAGACAGATGCCTATTTGCTTTCAAATAACATTATTTAAATGAGAAGCTCGCTGAACTTTCTGAAAACAGGACTATCTGCTGTGCTTGTCTAGAAAATGCTGACGGATTTCAGAATGTTGAGATATTTGGACTAGAGACAAGGCAAAACCATAAAGAAAGGCATTCTTCAGTGTGTTCTGTAGTATTGTGTCTACTGTTGATATATATTGCACATGTAAATCACGCTGCACTGCATCACTATCCTGCAGAGTGTTCACCTGCTCTCCGTTTCTCCTCGTCCTCCAGCAGGTTGCAGTGCATTAGAGTCCGTCGGTCGGCCATATTGGAGAGCAGAAGGTAAACAAACCCACTGAACCCAACAGAACTGTTTCACTGAGCTGATCACTGCTGCAGAAACGGATCAGTTATAGAGATGTTCTGGGCTGTGCTCATCGCTCAGTTCGACTATTACAGGAAGTGAAAATAAAGGAAAAGAGCAGCGGGAGGAACTACACCTACTTCATCTGCACACTATGATCTTCCTCACAGCAAACACCTGAGGAGATGACAGACTCGTGAGCTCCAGATGAACCCTCTGCTGCTGAATCTATAATATAGTGTCTATAATAACAGAGCGCTCCATCAATGAGGAGGTAGCTTGTCCCAAAGCTTGAACACTCTGGAGGTTCTCTTCCCATCAGCAATAGAGATGATCAGCAGCAGTGTACGTCCGTGTCAGACAGCTGCACTGCTGCTCTTCCTGATGGAGATGGACTCCTCCGCTGTCTGCTTCTTCAGGGGTTTCCTGCACATCACAGTGAATACAGCTTCATTAGGGCTCTGCAATATGCAATATCTCTGTGTAAGTTATTTCGTGATGTCCCAGCATACACTGTTCATCATTAATATGAGCGCAGTAAAGCACTGTGTTCACACTGAGCAAGTGATCTAGCGGTATCAGATGTGGACGCTGTTCATTTTTGGCATTTCATTAGTGTTTATGTTACATTATTTTACATGTTTAATCAAACATTTACCCTGAAGCTGGAAATAAAGAGGGAAATATGAACTCATATGTATGAGGATGTTTCTATAACTACACTCATGACTCTACATCACATGTGGCCAATATCATCTATTGAATGACTGGATTATCAGCATGTGTCCTATACTGGTATATAGCATTATCAGGATAGCAGCTATCTGTCATATCGCCCAGCCCTAAGTGTTATTTATAGTAGTGTTGGCTCAACATTTAATATATTACTTTATTTTAAGCCTTGTTTATTATTAAAAACAAAACAAATACAACACATGCGTGCACACTAATTTCCTTAAAGGGAAACCAAGAGAACTCGTGTTTACTTTCTTATTTTTTAGTTTTAAGTGATTTTGATCATAATATATTACGTTTTCCCCAACGCTGATCATTATTGACCTGACACACACACACACACACACACACACACACACACACACACACACACAGACAGAGAGAGAGGAGAGCAGGGAGAGCGCTGTGTTCTGCAGTGCTTATATTTAGGCTGATTGTGTTTCTGCAGTGAAGCGGGCCGTGCGGGTCTGAATGAGGCTTTATTCTGACTGTATATCTGTGCTGGACTGCCGGAAGCTGCATTACTGACAGTCAGAGCATCAGGAAAATAACATTACATAATCAGCAGATTCCCTGGATAGACCAGCGCTCCTTCAGCTGCGGAGGATCAGACATCATCTGCTGGAGATCTGCTTTATAGCCAGCATCAAGCCGAGGATCTGAGTGAAACGGTCCTGAAATGAGGGAAAGATGTAGCGCAGTGCTGGATTTACTTCTTGGATTGTTGAATTTGAGTGGCTCACAAAATAAGGACGATTGATGAATGGATGAGGGCGAACAGAAACAGGACACACACTGATAGCTCCTCCCTAAAGAATGATAGCTCCGCCCTAAAGCACTGATAGCTCCTCCCTAAAGCACTGATAGCTCCTCCCTAAAGAGCTGATAGCTCCGCCCTAAATGATTGATAGCTCCACCCTAAAGGACTGATAGCTTTTCCCTAAAGCTCTGATAGCTCCGCCCTAAAGGTCTAATAGCTCTTCCCTAAAGGTTTAATAGCTCCGCCCTAAAGGACTGATAGCTCCTGCAGCGCTGTAGACTGACACCTGCTGGACACAATAAAGAATACACAAAAAACAGCACAATCCACACACACACACACTGATCATTAGCGCTCCTCTGTGTGTGTGTGTGTGTGTGTGTGT